TATTTCTTTGAGTCTGATTTTGTTGTTTAATTAATTTTCTTTCGGGGGAATTTTTTGCATGAAGCAATTTCTGGAACCAAACTCGCGTTTTTGTACACATTTCTTTCTAGAGGTAAGTAATTTCCAATTTATTAAGAAAACCACTGTACAATTTGTGTGTTTAATAATATATTACAAAATGGCTATAATTATTTTAGGTGAATTGGAACAGAGATCCATTGTTACAGCTACTTTTGTTCATTAATTAGGTAGATGAATGTCTGGACAGCTTTAATGGCAGCACAAAGTGCCTACCTACTAGAAAATTAAAATGTATGCCGAGTTAGAATCTGCATATGTAGTATTGGCAAAGGACATTTGAAATGATTAGAGATTGGCTATTTCTTACTTACACCTACCTCTAATAGCCACTCTAAAGGAAGAAAAAACAATTGAATAACAAAAAGGCAGAATTTTAAATCAGGATGCATTGGAAAATAAATTTGGAGACATCAGGTCGGTTTTGGATTTTAGAGAGAGATCAATCTCAAGAAAAGTTAATTTATCATTCAGAACAACCAGCAGTTTAAGCAGGATCTGCTATAACTTTATTAGAAGATTTCCTTGATAATAAATTGTAATATACGAATTGTTTCAAATGAAATTAAAAAAGAGTTAAATTCGAAATTAGATTTTTCATGGGTAAAACATTCAAACATTGTAAGGTAATCTATAATTAAGGGAATATGGAAAATAGGTATACCCTCGTGGTGTAAGAGACAGGTAAGGGGCAATGACAAAAAAATTACAAAAATGTATTCATCTTTAAATAGTGTTTATTATTAATATTATTTGCTATGTTTGAAAAGTACCTCCTGCTGCAGAACAGATCGAATAGATTAGACGACTAGTTGGAGAAGGTTCACCTAGTAACCAAATTAGGAGACTAGGAAAACTTTTACATGACTGGGGACACAACAAGAATGCACACCCACAAGATACACAAACAAACGAAATAACAGGGGTAAGCCTTCAGCAACGTCCTGTTTAAATGATAGTATGTCATCCTTCATTCCCTTTTAGACTCCAGGCCTTATACATTTGTGTTGAGTGTATGTGTGTGTTTGTTTTGTTTCCATGGTTTCTATTAAAATAAACAGTCATAACATATCCATACCTTTTTGCCAGACTAACATAAGCGACATTTGTTCAAATGGCACTTATGATAGTCTGGCAAAAAAGTATCGATATACGATATACTCTATACTTTATAAAATATTTGTTACATTAGTTTTTAAATATATTATGAATATATAACAACTGTTACTTTCTTTGTAATCTGTCACAAAATGATAGGAGGTACTTTCTAAACATAGCAATTGTAGTTTGTTTTTCGGTACCTTACAAAAATATAATTTATAGAAAAAGAGTTTGGTGTATTATTTTTCCAAGTTTAAATATTTAATAATCAATAGAATTTTCAAGTTTTTTTAGCGAAATTTACAAGAGTAATAAAAACTATGTTCACTGCTTATATTAAACTGATTAAAACTTCCTTTATTAAAGTGATTATTTACATGATAAAAAATTTGATGTTATTGTAAGATTTTATATTTTTTAATAAACAGTGAAACAATAGTTTTTGTTTCTCTTGTAAATTTGTTGTATACAAAAACGATTTCTGAATCCATGTTTGAATTTCCCGCCCTAAAGCATTTTTAATTTTCCCGCTATTTACTAGTGGCGCCATCATAGACTGGTTGTGGTTACAATCGCCCAAATAAGTTTTACCGAACAAAAAAAATACATTGAGTTACACGTCTCGCTGGATTGTCTCTGATATTATACAAGTCTACAAAATATTCCTTCTTCAGAGACGTGTACCAGTAAATGTTCACAAGGGGCAAAAACTACAACTCGTAGTTTGAGTGGTGTTTAATACTATATGTTTTATTTGCAATAGTAGTGGTACTAGAGTAAAAAGTAAATTTAAATTAGTATCACTATAAATGGGTAGGTAAATATTTAAGGACATAAGCGCCGACTTTTATTTATCTCCGGTGGTCCCGGATGTCAATTTTTTTGAAACTAGAGTGGTTATTAAAAAAACGTTTTAACTTAAACAGAAAGCTCCATCTATGTACAACTTTTTAGCAGACGGCAACTTTGTTGTTAAAAAAAAAAACGATGAAAAGAGATTTAACTGTGTAGCGTCAGATATGGCATTGGAACAATCGATTAATAGAGAATGTAAGAGTCAATCATGGGATTTAAACAAAAGCCCAGTGCACTTCTTCGTTGGATATTTACCAGGCATACTTTGGGAGAATATTCCCAGAATTTTTTAGGCAAGTTCACAATGTCTTTTGTTATTTATTCTTACACATTTCAGAAGCTACCTCTAAACAAAACCGGGAGAGAAAAGAAGCCTTTACCCGCCAGAACAAAAATAAAAGTGAAGTTTTGAAAATGGTTGGTAAAATTGAAAGCGACTGGTGTAATCCATAAAATTTAAATGAACTTCTTTGATAAATATTTGTACTGTACAAGAACTTAATGAAGCAATAGAAAAAGACTTAAGAATGTTCGTAGATCAGGTAAAGCAAAAAGAGAGCTTTGAGAATACAAATATTGCATCAAGTTTCTGGAAACTAGTTAAAAGAACCAATGTGTTAACTTTTAAAGAAGTAATAACAGCTGAGTCGTTTAAAGCAAATGTAATAATTGGATCTGAATTAATGTTTCGTAGAATAGTATGTGCTGCACAAGTACACGATGTAGATTTGATAACAATAATGTCTCACGTGGTGGGTGGCTTAGTGGTAGAGCCTCTGCCTGCGGATCCAAAGGTCCCAGGTTCGAATCCCACCGTTGGCCGGGATTTTTTCATTTAATTTAATTATTTAAAATTAATTCTGATGCCTTGGTAGGATTCCCCACTCGACCATTCACTGTTGGGTACTAATTAACAGGGCTGTTCCTAAAGTGGCGCTGGGAAACAGTAACAAAGCCTACACAGAACACGAGGCTAATAACCGTAGCAGTTGATGCCGATGACACAAAAAAAAATAATAATAATGCCTCATGAATTAAAATTAGTGCCAATGTCATTATTTCACGATGATGGTTCAATGCGTAAAACTGCGAAATCGGAGTTGGTAAAAAGATTGGAAGACATATCAAATATTGAAACAAGGTGCCCGTCAGTACAATCGTTAATAGTTTATAGAATGGTGGTAATCCAAGAGCTAAATGAAAGTCAATTTTCCACTTTTAATGACTTAGTAGGAGTTCTTTTAAAGACCGTTTTAAATTTCGGAAGAAGATGTAAAGCTCGACGTATAACTATAGTTTTTGATACGTATAAACAGTATTCCATAAAATTAGCTGAAAGAATTAGACGTGGTCAATGTAATGTAGCTGTAATTAATGGCAGTGGTAATAGAAAAGCACACAAGTTTCGATATTTTCTTAAATCATCTAAAAACAAACAATCTTTGTTGAAATTCCTAACAGATATTATTCAATTTGGAGAACAAGTTGTTAGAACTGATGAAACATTAATAATTGCAGCAGGTTTCAAAGATTCGGAAAAAGTTATATCAATTAATAAAGATGATTCAGTAAATATACTACATAATTTGTATAGTGATCAGGAAGAGGCAGATACTCGCATAATTTTACATGTAGTACACGAAACCAAATTTATTCAACATATCCTCGTACAGTCAATAGACACTGACGTTTTAATTTTATTAATTCACTTTTATTTATGAATTAAAATGTTAAATATGAGATTAATTATACAGCTTGGACACAATAAAAATAGACGTTATTTATCAATAGACAAAATTGTTGAAAATTTGGGAACGTCAATTTGTTCGTGCCTCCGATCTGTTCATTGTTTGACTGGATGTGATACTGCAAGTGCCTTTTACAAAATTGAAGAAAAAAACAGCATTTGACATTCTCAAAAAACATTAGTACATTGGAAGATTTATCCAAGCTACCAGTTATACCAGAGCATGATGGGTTGGCATTAGCTACTAAATATATTCTTTTATTGTACAGAAATAAGGACAATAATATTCGTACTCTGTAACGGTTGAAACCGTTTTCGTTAATTAGACCCAAACATTGTAACGGTTGAAACCGTTTTCGTTATTTTGACGCAAACATCTCTACCCTAATGTCATTTGTCGTTTATGCCTTGTGTCAAAAGTTGATAATTCATTTCGATTTATATCTGTCAACGAGGAAGTTGATTTGAATTTTTAATTATCTTTTATCTTGGACATCCGATGTACTAATTGTCTATTAATATTCTTAATGACCGTCTGATTTTATAAGCCTGGCTGTATCTAGATGGTTCTGTAGGAGTTATATCGAAAGAGATGTTTAGAAGTTTAGAAGAAAGTTCAAGCTGCATGTTTAGAAGTATAGAAATGTATAAGTTTAGTTCCAGCTACAGAAGTTTATTTCAAGTATATCAAGAGGTTTAGTTCGAGTCATCTAAGGAAGTTTATGAAATTTAAGTTTGGTACTGTCCGAAGAGTATCGTATGAGTCCCTTTAAAGAAGACCTCTACAAGTCACTCCTTAAATATTACCTCTTATTCAACAGATAAGCCATTCTTGAATAAATCATTTAAATTTGAATAAGTAAGTCTCTGTGAATTAGAATTTGTCGCTACCTTATCTGAAACCTTATTTAATTATAATATCTTAATGGTTTAGTGATTTTCTATATTTTTATCATTAATCGATAGTCAAGTTTAGTAAGTTTTAAATATAGTGAAATATGAATATCTAGGTAAACACACGGCGCCCTGGACCGGCGGATGTGTATAATATGTATACACAAAGCGCTTAACGTGTTAAGTAATAGAAAATGAATAGGTATCTGAATATTTAGTAGTTGCACCTCGTAATTATAATTGAGAGGGTCCTTAACCTGAGAGGCAGTCCAAAGATAGAAATGAAAGTCGTAGAAAGAAAAATAACTCAAAATCTAAATTTTACCGATATGCTTAGCTTGTGGCGTACCGGGCGCTGAGATCGGTGGAGGAGCTGGCACAGTGAAGCTCTTGAGCGGGTGACCTTGAGCTTGTATTCTTTTTGATCCATCTACCCACCCAGGACCTGGTGGGGTATTAAAGCCGCCGCCAGAGGGCACAGGTTGGGGATGGCTGAAATAAAACTGATTCTAAACAAAAGGTATCCTAAATAAAAGGTATTTTAAATTAAAGGTATTCAAAACATAAGATATTCAATTGCGAGTTCAATTTTAAACTTTTTTGAAAAATCGATGAAAATATTTACACTCTACACCAATAAAAGATTACTCACCCGATGTACCCTGAACTAAGGGGAGTACCGGCATCGTGAGGATTGTGTGCTACGGGGTGAGTTATGTAGACGTTTTCCGTTGCTTGGCTATGTGGCAAGGTTGAGTCAAAAGGCACCTGGGCTCTTGAAGGCATTGAATACTGGGCTCTGACATACGGTTGTCTGCCCGATGGAGTTGAATCGGCACTGGATTGGCTTAAGGCGGCCGAGTTTATTGGAGTGGCGATAGCTGAAAGTACATTTTCAATAGTAATTTCTTTAATATATTCAATATTAGTGTTTAATATCATTTCGAGTCATGATAACATAGAACGATTTCAAATTAGAAAATCTTTTAAAGGTTTTTAAATTAAACAAGGAACGATCAAAGGAAATTCACTGTCTCCAGTATTGCCAAAATGCCATAAGAATTAAGATAACTATTTTTCTAGATAAAAAAAAAAAACTAATTTATTCATAATATACATTCACCAACAAAAAACCGCTCAGGATAGCTATTCACTAAGTCATGGGAGCGCTCCCATGGGAGTGCTCCCATATATTTTGCTCTCTTACTCTTAGGTGGGTATATCGTGCTTACTCACTTTTAGCCCAGGTACATGCGTAGTAAGGTCAGATTTTATACTATGGGAGGGAGAATTGCGGGCTTGCCAGATTAGGTCCGTATTTATCACAAAGCAAATTTGAATTACTAAGGGCTGATTCCACCGTTGAGTTAAACGGAGATTAAAATGACATTGTTAATGTAAAAATGTCATTTTAAACTTCGTTTAACACAACGGCGGATCGGTCCTTAAATAGTAGATCAAAGTTATTCTGTCGACTTGGCAACGTTGGCATGGGAGTATGGGAGTGTGGGAGTGCTCCCATGAGTTAGAGAATAGGTATCCAGGTAATATTTATTAGTATGAAATTTCTTAGGTGTATGGTATAAAGCGTATTATCAATTTTTAGTATGAATCTTTAACACTACAAAATCGATAGATAAAATTGAGGAATCATGCATAAACAGGCCCAAATATATTTACACTTATAAAAGAGAAATATAAACTTAATCAGCTAATAATATTTAATATGTATAAATTAAAAAAAAATAGTCTGTCATCAGATAGTGACAGGTATAGTTACCCCATTTTCGTATACAAACCTCGAAGAGGGTTGAATAGTACATCGATTTTAAGTAGAATGAAAGAAATTTACGAGTGGCTGCTGGGGATAACACATGAAAAATTCGATTTTCCCTAACAAAAACGAAAGGTCATTTGTTGCCAATTTTTTCACACAAGCCGTTTTCACTATATGATTAATTAATAGAACTAGGCTTCGGAAAACCAAAGGCTTTAATATTGCAAGTGGCTAAAGGGTTGAAATAAGGGCGTAATCTTCTAAGGAAAAAATCGAGATTTTGCCCGATTTCTCCACATAAGCCCATCGAATGTATGAAAACGTACGTCGTCACTAGTCCGAAAAACATATTTCCTTCAATGACCCGAATGTATAAGTGCATTTTGGGGTCGGACAATTTTTCTGATAAGGAAAATCGAATTTTCCATGTATTATCCCCAAGAGCCACTAGCAAATTTTCTTTTATTCTACTCAACATCGATGTACTTTTCAACCCTCTTCGAGGCTTGCATGCGAAAATGGGGCACCTAAATCGGTCACTATCTGACGGTCTAAAAGATTCAGCGAACAATACAAGGTTTATTTTAAAATAAAAAAAGCACTTACCTTCTCTGATGGGTTTGGCATCAACTGGAAAAGTTATTGGTTTCGGTTTGGCAGAACCTTTCTGTATATCATCGCCTACGTTTGTGTAAAAAAATATCATGCATTAAAGTAAAAAAATATATACAAAGCTATACAAGATGCTTTGGTGCAAATAATTCAAATAAAAACTATCTAACAATATTTACAATATTTCTAAATAAAATAGAAATAAACTCATGTGCATTTATTTTACACTAAAAAATACTGTTTAAGATTATTAAAAATTATTCTTTTCGTCACTTTTTAACTATGGTTTTTTATTTTATATTATTTTAACTAAAAATTGGCCAAAACAAATTAAGATACGTTCATTGATACAACGAAAAAACCTCAATTAGTTCATTAAATACATATAAGGGGTTTCATAAAAAGTATCTTAAATTGAAGAACATTTAACAACTTAAAAAATATACTTTTATATTTTTTATCTATTTTCTATTAACACGTTAACTGTCAATACCACCCTATGACACGCTATTTGACGGTTTTAAGTATGACCCTAGTCGTGTGTGTGATTGGCCCAAAAGTAAATTTTTTATTGATATATCGCATGACACTATGTGTCAATCCACGTCTGATCTATTTTAACGGTAAAGTATTTCCAAGACACATCAGTTGGGATTCTTAGGACAATCCTCGATGACTAGAGATAGAGAACTATCGATAGTTTTTAACGCAATCACTACTAGATTTTAATTTTCAAAATGAGAATGCAATAAATGTGGATTTCGTTTTTTCGGTTCCAACATTTTTGATTCAAGAAAAAAAGTTTTAGATCCGAGGAAAATACCAACTATTTTGATGCGACAATCACCACTATTTCTGGATTCTCAGAATAAACCTCAACTGGCGATTTCTTTACCAAAAAAGAAATCTTTGTTTTCATTTGTAAAAAAAAGATCGAAGCTGACGTGATTATTTATAAAAGACAATATTTGGAATGAACAAAGTCGCTTGAGGATACAGATCCACTCTTATTTTGGAAGGTAAAATTAGTTACATATTTAATTGTACTTTTTTAGGTAAATCGGGAACTGATACCTGTGCCAGAACTTCGCAAAAATTATTTATGCATGCCTACATACTTCGCAGAATCAGAAAGAATATTTAGTACTTCAGAATATATTTCAGACAAGGGCTCAAGAATTAAGGCGAAAAAACACCTTTTTAAATAAAAATCAGTTGACTTTTACTTAATATTATTTGCTTTAAAAATATTTATAATAGAACACAATAAAATGTATCCTTAAAAAAAAAGGAAAACTATCGGTAATCGTGATTCTGACAATCCGATGGTGCTTACTATAGATAGTTCTTCACCTCTATTGAAGACAAAAACCTGTCAACGGCAGTTAACATTTATTTATCTAAAAAGCTGTGCAAAGTATAGCATACTATACAAATTAAAAATAAACGTAAATTATATACTCACCAACATAATTTGAAACGTAACCCCGTTTATCTAACGAATTGGTATTCATTCCATCATGTTGATCATATTCAGTTCCACCTACGCTTCTAGGTAATGTCATTGCACCACTGCTGCTTGCTCCATCGTTGTGCGAATGTCTCTTTTCCAGCGCTTTCAATTCCATCTGATCATGGTGAATCCACAGGTCCGGCGGTTTTATGTTTTGGGAACCCTTTTGATAACCCTAAAATTTTAACAGATTCATTCCCATATGAGTTTAATATTTATTCTTCAAAGTTTACATTAATATATTTTACATATTATCGTTGATTTAGGAATATCTCCTATATGTAAAATCACTAAATTTTCATTAGACACAAAGGCTTCCTAGAACTTCATATTGAAGTGCACACACATGTACAAAGTATCACTTATTGGACAACAATGTATTTTAACAGCTTACTGCAAACATGTGATTTTTTAAACTAGATGACGCTTATGGTACCAAAATATGAATATTCTCAAATAATGCACATAGGAAGCGTTGAAGAACCTTCAACATATATTCAAATTAAAGCAAAAAAGAAAAAATATTTGAATTAAAACACAAACCTAAGCCGCCTCTGGCACTTACAGAGGCAACTCAAAGACGTCATTTTCGTCATAAAGACAAATTGTCAAAAGAAAGCCGTCATGTGTGCACGTCCTCAGACGATTGGTTAGAAACCCAAGCGACAGGCACTAATTCAGAATCTAATTCTCACTCAATGAAGCAACATCTCTTTTTTACCTTTTACCCGTTCTCTTAATTAAGCGCCAGGTCGCCATGTTTAATTTTGTTATGTAAAATCAAATACACACACTGGCATGGCTCTGGTTAATTTTCTTAAGTAACAGTGCTACTACGATTTTAAATATAGTTTAGTGTTGTGAGGTAAAAAGTTTTTAGTATGGATTTACAATGTAAGAAAACCAGTGCTCTCCCTCTCTTCTCTCTTAGCAGTTCCCTACAGTCAAAGGAATGTGTTAAAAAATATAAAGAGAAAACAACTATCCCCTACAGGAGGTATTGCTAAACCATCGAGAATATACAATCTTAGACTGGTCTTCTCTCCGAGATTCCAAAGGACCACAGGCAGATCTTCACGCTGGACTGCAGAAGTTTTCACCTTGTGACCTTGATTTTAGTCTACTGCTTACTCCGTGAGTATTATTAGGCTGTTGTGGCTTTTCGTGCAACGAGCGGTAATTGATGTGGTTGTGTTATTTATGAATTTAATTGTCTATTTTCCCTGAAAAAGGCAAGGACAACCCTGTTTTTTCTTAGCGCTTTTTCAGGTAAACGATACATAACTAACAACAGACAAAATTACTAAGAGGAAAGTTCCATTACCGACGCAAACTAACCAACCAAAACAGCCATATAATATTTTTCGGAAATAAGGAGATGACACCTTAAAAATCCCTCATTTAAACATTCTGCATTAGTGATTGCGGGACGAGACGTCGCCCATATTTCTCCTGTCCAGGCTGGAGGACAGAGGCGAATATTCGACGAACGTACACAATATGTAAATGTAAAATTTTATTTTTGTAAACATTGTAAATAAACTTATTCATTCATTCCCTGAAAAAGTGATCGAAAAAATAGGGATGTAATTTACGTGTGCTATGTTCATTATTGTCTTTGGATTTGAGATATACATGACTCGTGAACCGAAAGTGATTGGCCAGTCGCCCGACTTAGGATCTGTCAATGACATGTCCCCGATCTGATGACGGGGGTTCATGTACTTAGTTGTTATTTTGTTACACTTATTTTTTGTCCATTGTTAGCATCTATACCGTCAGTTGTTTAGTTTGTCGTTGAAGTTTTGATATGTTCCAAATATGTCTTTGTAAGTACGGCATTTTCGTAGTTCTGTATTTAAGTCTCTTACCGCTCATGCAAGTTCGGCCAGGTTAATCATTTTATTGAGTAAAATAATATGCTGAATTACAGTATTTAGCCATGTCATTGGTAAATTATGAGTTTAATGGTTTGATGCAGATTTGAATTTGAAAATTGGGCAAAAGAAAGGAAAAACATTTACTTATAAGTATTACTACATTAATTGCCTCTAGAAGTAGAAATAGTAGTACTTTCTCCAGGTTAGTTTTATCGATCTGTCACTTTCAAAATATTCCAGCACTTCGGAACAACTGTGGAACGATTGACTAGTTCAGTGAGAGACATCAATAATAAATGAACGTGAATTGAATCCACCGGTGAATAAATGAACGTAATTTTGCATCGATGGAGCAACCGATAAATAAAAAACGAATGACAGATGTCATAAAATATTTGAAATTTCTATAAACATAAACATATTTTTTAATCTTAATAAATATAAAATTATATTCAAATTAACCTTACCTTTTTCACTCTATCAGGCGACGTACTGGTATCTGTTTTTCTACAACAGAAGAAACTTACAACTGTTGCTATTGTGGCTAGTGCTAATATGCATCCTGCTAAAGTGGTATAAAGTAGGACGTCAGATGAAAATACTCCACTGGAATCTAAAAAATACGAGTTTCGTAATGAGGAATTCAAGAAACACCCTAGTAAATTTTTGTGTTAAAAATAAATACTAGGAAGTTAAAATTGAGAAAGTCAGGTATTTAAACTTTACATTGTTTTGTTTCTACTTTGATATGTGGCAACAGCGTAAGGTTGTTTCTTAGGATTGAATCCGTTCAGTTCAAGTATTGTACTCGAAAAATTGTTTTCATCCCTTTCTCTCAGTCAAGAGAGTTGTACGTGTACAGTTACAAGTAATGTTGTATTATGTGGTAATGATCTAAATAAAATTATTTGTTTTTACAACAATAGTACTGCCTGAACACACAATTTTCACACATTCAAATATCCGGACACAAATTACCAATTAGGTCACTGGGTGTATAACACTACAGTAGTCTAATGGTTATGACGTTGCGACGGAAACCCAGAGGTCGTAGATTCGACTCCAACAATTTTCTTTGGTTTGATACCACCCCTTGAATTCTGGAGCTCATTTCTGAATTCTTTCACTTCACAAATATATTTTTTTTTTTCAAATATTCATTAAATTTAAACAATTTGGTCCCGTTAGACAAAGAGTGTTAAAGCAATCACGAATATAATAGACACAATTTGTGTCGCAGGTTACCTGAAATATAATTGAAATACAGCAATATATTTTATCAAAATGTAAAGAATTATAAAAATTGCGTTTAAGAAAAATATGTAAGATATTATAAATTAAATAATAAAACAAAAAAAACAAAAATTACCTAATTGCTGGCCTGGAATTGACGGGGAAGTTGCGACACCTATGTAACAAAATAATAATAAAAATAAAAAAAAGGTAAACTAAAATAAATCAATTTTCTCTTATACATAAATATTTTGTTTTAAATAACATTTTTTGTAATGGCAGGATGTCAATCAGTTGTTAATTCAATAAACATATTTTGTTTTCACTACTGTACAACATAGTTATTAATTCATCCACTAAAATTTATTTTGGCTGTATTTTTAATACTTACTTTGACCCGTTCTAAAAGTAACCACATTCGAAAATGGTCCATATCCTCTACTATTCCTAGCCTGAACTTTAAAATAATACATCGTGAATGGCTTTAAATTATAAATTATGCTCGAATGAACGTCTCCTTTTACAGCGGAAGCATTCCACTCTGGATCAGACAAACTTTTATTGTCCGTGTACAAAATAACATAGCCAGTGATACGTCCTGTATAAGTTTTGGGAGGTTGCCAAGAAAGTTCTACCAGATGGGATTCTTCGTCTTTAAAATGCGCGTCAAGTTCCCTGGGAGCAACGTTTAAGGGCAGCTCCCAGGTTCTGTTGTGGGCTACCATGCTCCAGGAGCTTTCTTTTCGCCCTAAAAAAAAATATCAAAAAATCAAAATCAAAAATATTTATTCACAGAAATTACAATAAATATAAAGTGCAGTGTCTTATTGGTAACTGCAAATAAACACATAGATGTTTTTTTTTTTTTTTTTTTTTTTTTTTTAATTTGGTGTCATCGGCGTCGACTACTACGGCCATTAGCCTCGTGTTCTGTGTAGGCTTTGTTACTGTTTCCCAGCGCCACTTTAGGAACAGCACTGTTAATTAGAACCCAACAGTGAATGGTCGAGTGGGGAATCCTACCTATGCATTAGAATTAATATTTAATTTTTTAAATTAAATAAAAATTCCTGCCACCGGTGGGATTCGATCCTGAGACCTTCCGATCTCAGAGTCATGACTCTAACCACTGAGCCAACCCACCCCAAACACATAGATGTTAATAAAATATACAATATTAATAGATAAAAGGAAACAAAATATAATTTATAACATGAGAAAAACATTTAGTTTGTTATTTATTAAAAAATTTCAATGACATTTTGACTTGAATAGAATAAACATTGCTATTAGCTACTTTCAACTAGGTTATGTATGACGTTTCTAGTCGTACTCTTTACGTTTTTAATCTATTCATAGAAGGTTCAGATTTAATTTTTTTCAGGTACAGCGTTATATAATTTAGGTCCAAGAAACATTTTGTCCAATAGATTTTTTTGTTATCATGTTTAAGTAAGTATTTCTGTTTCTTGTCATATGTTCGTGAGTTCCAATTTTCAAATTTGATCTGAGTGAATGTTGTTTTATTATAATATTTATAAAGTATAATTGTCGAACATCGAATATCTTTGTTTCGCCATAGAGTAACTCGCTAGAATATCTTCTGGTTTTGTTAAGAAGAATTTTTTAAAATATTTTTTGCGAAATCTCGAGAATGTTGTAGTAGGTGCGAGCAACTCCTCCCCAACTGACTAATCCATATTTCAGGTGAGTTTCTACTAAATTTCGGTAAACCATTAGTTTTTGTTTAGATTGCAGATGTTTAAATTTGTACAATATACACCTTAGTTTTTGAGTCAAATAATTTGTATGACTATCCCACCTAAGATGTGGGTCTATCATAACACCTAAATATTTTATGTTTTTGGGCGGTTGTATCTTGGTATTTTCTTGTACATTTATTGTGTAGGTTGAAAAGTCTGTAGTCAAACCATTGTTTTATACATTTAAAATCATTTTCACTTTTTATCTTCAAATCGTACCAGTTTTTATCCTTGTATATTAAAACTGTATCGTCTGCAAAACTAGTGATTTGGCTCTTACTTTTAACCATAAATAAATTATTTAAATATATTGTAAATAAAATAGGCCCCAATGCCGTACCTTGAGGTACACCACACACAACTTATTTGTTCTCTACTACATTTATAATCCACTATTACTATTTTAGGGAGGACGGTTTGTCAGATATGATTGAAAGAAATTATTTGATATACCCCTTATGCCGTGTCGAATGGAAAAATGAAGTCAAATATCTAGGCCTAACCCTGGACAACAAACTTCTCTGGAACACACATGAGAAGGAAGTAAAATATTTCTGGACCAGTTTTGGTCTATCTAGCTTTTTCATCTGTTTTATAATGAATTTTGATAACACCTCCTTTAAATCAATGGTAGCTGCCGCTCGCAAATATGGTATAGAAGACTCTAACTCCTGGTGGATAAAAGACATGTTATGCGGACGGTAAGTTCAGGCACAAATATTCAGTGAAAACATGCAGGTGAATATCCACAGGGTGGAGAACTTTGTCCTTTACCGTAGAACCTAGTGGCAGATGAACTGCTGAGAACACTGAACAATCACAGTCTTCGAACTCCTGCAAAGAGCTTTAAGGTTGACAGAAATGTGGTAAACTCTGACAAGGCATAACTAATAACCTTTATTCGGAAAACAAAGTTGGAGGTCTTAGAAACTCCGACCCTGTTTGAATGAAGGCTAAAAAGAACAAGACAAGTAAAATATCTTTCAATTCTAGATAATAGCAAACTTACTTGGAAATAACACTAAATGTGTACAACAAATGTAACGTGTATCTCAGTGTACGGAGACGGGCATTTGGGAAAACATGGGGATTAAAACCGAAAACGGTCCACCGGTTATATTTGGCAATAACAAGACCCATGATAACTTATGGAACAGTTGTTTGGTGGCCAAAAGTAAACCAGAAAACAGCCCTCAATACCCTCTCAGTAGTACAGAGACTTTGCATGCCTTTGTCTTACAGGAACACTGAAAAGTACACCGCCTCTATTCATTCTAAACCCCTTGGCCTAGTCATAAAGGGGAAGGCCAGAATGAATGCATACCGGCTGGACATTCCAACAACTGAAACCCACTGGGACATATAAAACATACCAGAATAACACAGGAGGTAAATGACCCTATATTAAAAATGGGATCAGACATGACACCCAACCTAACCTTTAACAGACTGGAACGAGGTAAATAGATTCTTGCTTAGTGGTCTCGTATGGTATATGGATGGATCTAAAACTAACAAGGGAGCAGGCTCTGAATACAGGGAAAGCATGAGAATACAATAGACCCAAGAGGCCGCAGTGTTCTGGGCCCAATCTATCCCTATCTGCTTATAAACGACAAAGATGAAGACCAACGTTTGCTGACGATTGTAATGAAATCATAGAATGGGTAAGAAAACCGTTAACTTCGCTAAAACGTAATAGATTTTATTTTAGGATTTTTAAATTTAACGGAAATAATTGTTCAAATTTTTCAACCACTCGTTTAGCGAGACGTGCGTCCGAAAACAGCCATTTGAGCCATTAAACTGAACGCTGTCCGAGATTATTTTTCGTCCGAAATTGGATTATAAAAAACCGTTCAACCGTTTTTGCTTTGTTTTGAATCAGTACAATTCGTGTAAAAAATTGACATTATTTCATTTATTATCTCGTGAGATTACAAGATAGTTGTAAATTTTATTAGAACCATGTTGAATATTTCCAAATTATTTTCTGAATGTAAATATATTAAAATTTTGATTTTACCCAAAGGAAAGTAGACATTAGATTTAAACAATGATACCGTGTTTTGGATTGAGAAATTCGTTTCCGGACTTTGTAATTTGAATAAAAAAATTTGAGTTTTTCTTGGAAATAAAAATTGGTTAAATATATTTTTTTCCAAACGGGCGTAATAGACTTTTAATTTCGAGTTTTTGTAATTGAAGGGCAAATCACTAGTTTCGGAGATACATTGCTCAAACTGGAAAAAGTGTATTACACACATGCAAAAGTGTAGATTTTAACGGGGAATATTTTGAGAAGCAATAAAGAGATAATATAAGGTAATTTATATTTTGTTTTACATTTTCTGCGAACCTGATAGCAGTTTTCCATGTATTTTAAAATTTCCAAGCTGGAATCCGGATTTGTATATCCAAATTGCATTAAATTGTCCAACTTACCTTTTACAAGTTTTACGGAAAATTCATAGAGGGTATTAGGCTTCAATTCATCTACCATTAAATTCAAATCAGTAACATTAATATATCTTGGTTTTCTCATTTTATCGTCTATAATTTTAACAGTATAATAACGGCTGTCTCTTACATACTAAAAAAATTATAATTGTTATATTAGTAATATACAATTTTCAAAATAAGTCCGGTCAGATCTTTAACTTACTTGGCTTTGTTTTAGTGTAGGGTCAGTCCAGTATAGAACTACTGAACTAGTGCTCAAGACTTGCGCTTTAAGCCCCATTGGCGGATAAAGAGTAACAGCAGGTTCTGGAGGAGGTTCATCTTGAGTACGAACTTGGGTATAAATTGGAGCTCCAGCACCTACCTGATTGCTGGCTCTCAAACTTAAAACGTATTCTGAATTTGGCTCTAAAAATGTTTATGGAGCGTTTTAACAGATTCTGTTTAGATTTGATTTCAAAAAAATTAGTTTTGGTCAATATATTTATTGAAAAAAGAATTACTGACATACCTAATCTGTCAATGACGTATGTTCTGTTTCTCTCATCTAATTCTTGAGAATACATGTCAGGTATTCCTTTGCCCCAACCAAGAATATAATGACGAACCCTTATTTTTTGATTATTTGGTGGAGACCACATCACATAAAGCTTATCAAATGTTGGACGAACTAAAACATATACATGAAAAGACACATGGAAATTTATATTTTTATAGCAAACAGACACATACGTTTGATGTACAAGAATAACAAATCCCTCTCACCATAACAAAAAACTTACCTCTAATAGCAGCAGGTTGCTCAGGTACTTTACTTTCATCAACGTCATTTTGAAACGTCTCGACTTCAACCCATTCAGAACCCGGACCCGTACCATTGACATTCATTGCCCAGAGTCTAATTTGGTACAAAACTCCCTTTTCTAAATCGTTAATTACATAGTGCCTTTCGCTGGGTTGTGTTGTATAGGTAAATGCTTTTCCTCTAGCCACTCGACGCCATTTTATTCTGTACCCAAGAATGACGCCGTTTTGGGCTTCGGGAGGTGGTGGTTCCCAACGGACAGTTATACTCTGCAAAAGAAATTTTGGATCAATATAACATACAGATATACCCGGTTGGAAGAATGCTTGTTAAATTTATTAATATCTAATTATTTTAAAATTATATTAGACTGAACTATCTGAATGATATGAACTTCAAATTGTTTACAGTCTAAACATGTCAAAATTTATCAGGATTTATGCAAGGGAAAACTAAATTCCAAATTAATTAGAACATTGGTTTAAAAACAATAATCTCCTGTTAAATGTCAATAAAACAAACCTCTAACACATTCCGGGTAGTGACGCTTGGTTGGAGATTGGACTGGAAAGAACACATTTAACAACTATCCGGTAATATTTACAAATTTAGCTACGCTCTAAGAATACTTTCCGTTAACATAAATCAAACTACTGCTCTAACCGCATACTAGAATTAGTTATGGAATAATTGTGTGGGATAATTCAGCAGATGCACAACGTATATTTATTTCACAAAAAGGTGCCTTAGAAATATATTCCACCTAAATGAGATAGTTGTAAATATATTTTTATTCTTGGAATCGATTATATTTATTAAACAAAATTACGATCTGTTTGAGATCAATGAAGTTGAACATATCTATAATACCAGATCAATATGCACCCTAAAAACGGACATCCCAAGATATACCTTTATCTAAAAAAAAGTAGAATATTCTATTCAAAAGATTTGGAATAAGATGCCTTCTACACTAAAGACTTTAGAAATCAGACCTCTAAAATTAAAATTCAAGCAACTTCTGTGTGATAGAGCATATTACAACTTAGACGAATTCTTTTGGACTGTAACAGTCAAATTTTTGATTACTTCTTTTTAAACTTTACCACTTACAAATAACTTTAGCAAAATTTTGTTATTCAAATATCAATGGAGACCGAAGAAATAGTTGTTAAAGTTGAAAATTTTATGTCCCATATGTCCCGTGACGTGTACCAATAAATCCAAAGAATTTAAATTCTGTTGACAAATCTTTACTTTTATTTCCTTATTAACCCCATATCTGCGTGTATTGTAGAAAGAGTGAAATACAAATATAATTAGGTGTCTCTTCTTTATTTTAACAATTCTGGACAATGCATGAAGTGGTGTTGCAACAAAATACAAAGGGTAGCGTCGATTAATTTTACTTATAATACATTTTAAAATGTTTGTAGTTGTCGATGTGTAATTTAAATAAATAATAAAAATTCCAAGCCATTATTTTTTACTTCGATAGGCAATTGACTTTTATAAATTAAGAGGCAAATAAAAAAATATATATATTTGAAATGTGTCCGTGATTAGATATGATTAGTATATGTATTTACCTGCAGTAAAATTGGTTACAAATTTTTTCTAAATGGACGAATCAATGTTTTCTTGTTAAAATACACACCATTATTATTTTTACGTAAATAAGATTGAAAATTCCGATGCGTTGTTATAGTTCATTATATAAAATATTGATTATTATGTAAAAAATGTGTTTCAATGTGTATTTATATATAAAATGTATATTTATGTACTATGACATGCTCTACATCTCTAAAGGAATTTTTCGAGTAAATAAAGATTTCTTTTTACTAAATTGTAACGTTCTTGCAACCGACTGAGTCTTTTATCAACGTTGATGTTGGAATAGGAAGTTACAAATGTTGTATTCCTACTTACCGTACTTGAGGGCTCTGTAGTTATATTGATAGGGGGTTCGGAGGGTGGAGCACTAAAAGTTCGAACTAACTTTTCTTCTGTAGCTGCGCCTGCACCATTTTCATTAACAGCTACAACCCATACACTGTATTCTGTGTACGGCATTAGGCCATTTAGATCATAGTTCAAATCAATGGTATCCACGTTGTGTTCTACCGAGGCACTTGTCTAGAAGTAAATAATTATAAAACAAACATAAAAAAATATATATTAAAAAGCATACTTCCATATAAAATATTGTATATCTCAAAATATTTCCATTGGCTGTTTCTGGTGGATGCCAACTTATGTGGACGTTTTTGGGACTAGTTGCATACACGTTAAAATTTAGCGGAGTACTGGCTACATGCTCTTCTGATTGTGTTGTGACTGTCAAAGGTTCTGAGGATTCCCCAGCACCCAAGGCGTTGTATGGGACAATACGAAAATGATAAACGCGGCCTGGTAGCAGACCTCCAATGTTAATTTCTTCTAGTTTTGACCTGGAGGTGTTTTGGTATCTTTCTCTGTTAGTGAAAAAAAAAAAGACTTATTTTAAATGTTCCTATCACTGATCTGTATTATTTTACTGGATAGGATATAGGCTATATTTAACATACTAAAAATCCGTTCCACCAAGGACACCGGAAGTGCAACACTGCTGGCCGATTTGGGCAAATTATGGTGGGTTCACAGAACTAAATTTTGGGATAATTTGGCATACCTAACCTATAATTTGATTAATTTTTCTTCTTATTCTTCTTCTATTCCTTTTGCGGGCAATGTTCTTCGGGACAATTCACCCACGATTTGATTTTTTTATGAAAGAAAATATAAAAATGGAAACGTGAAGCATATTGTGTCTTCACGAAAGAACGTTTATTGTTTATATCATAGTAATGCTATCCGATACTACCTACATAAATAAGACATCTCGTCGTAACTTGTTGACACAATTAATGACAAATGTGATGACAAATGGAAATAGAGGTTATGTTAAATAACATCCGGTCCGTCATATTATTTGTTCAAATCGGCCAATTTTTCGGAACGTTTTTTAGGGGGCTATATCCTATCCAGTAAAATAATACAGATCAGTGGTTCCTATATATCATGTTTGAGAGTGAGGAAAATCGGATTTTTTTTTATTAAAGTATCATAAAAATACAAACGTACTTATATCTATTTTTCTACAATTGTTTTATAAAGCAGCCTTTGACGCTTCCTAATGTCAAAGTAAAATTGACGTTTGTCGAGGACTAAACTGACAACCACGATAGACAACATTGATATCAAAGAAAGTACTGCCCTAATCAAGTTAAAACTTTAAAATGCAGAGCATCCAAAGAGCTTAAAAGGCAAGTTGTCCTACTTTTCGCGCATAGTTAAGTTACTCATCACTACTTGCCGTTGTACCTAAATTAATAATAATTGGTTCTAGATCAGAAAAATCTAATTGCTTGTATTTTTCCCAATTCGAAACAATTACGTTTTTAGTGTGTCTTACATAATTGTCCCATTGAGTATCGATAACATTATTCCAAGCTTCTGACCAAGTCTGAAATACATCTTTTGTCATAAAACCGTTGACCACACCATCTCTATCGCATTGAACTGGCAGTGATATGGAGGAGTTCTTAATATTTTATGCCCATATTCCTCAACATATTTATCTAGGTGGAATTCTTTTTGTGGTATATTTTGACACAACTTCCCAACTCTAATATTTCATACAATTTTATCTTTTGTCCAACTATAACATGGAATTGGTTCCACGTACCGCAAATGATAACTGGCATTATCGATTATAATCAAAAAATGATGTTCCAGACTAGGTATAAATTTCGTCTTAAACCATTTTTCAAAATATTGTGTATTCATATTATTATAGAAATCCCAGTACTTATTATTTTGTATTAGGCATAGCCGTGCTTTTACAGCGAACATGTGGCAACTACGATATCCTCGCTATAGCAATGTTCTCACATTCGGCTCGGCTAATCTCCCACCACCATATCTTCTAATTCTAGTCGTCGGCGTCGCGACGACTGACTTTTGCTATTTTATTACCTTGTATACTAGTCGTATGTCTAACACGAAAAAATAAGCACTGTATAACTTGCCTCAAGTTACTTAATATTAAAAAATTGACTTTTGTTTTACTTTAACTTACTTTTTTAGACATTATATTCACATACTCTATCAGAATTTGTTGGTTTACTAAGTCTCTAGATAGTTTTCTAAGAAATATTTAATGCTTCTGCAGCCATTCGATTGTATCTCTTTCCAAGAACCTCGCATATAGATTTGTTTCTTAAAAAACTACGTTTGGGATTGAAGTTTTTGATTGATCACTAAATCGTTTCACCATTTTGTTGAATACGTATAAATTTTTTTTAACAAATTGACATATTCAAAATTATTTTGATGCCACCTAACATCTAGTAACTTTTTGTTTAATCCATTTTACATTTAAAGAATAAAGAAAGCGAATGGACTTGGGGTATTTCCGAGACTTTATTAATGATTGTAGTACAAAGTACAAATTAGTTCGAAAGTAATTGTGGCACAACTAAAAAAATTAGAAAATCATAGATAAATGAAGCATCAAACGTTAAATTTAATATCTTTTCTTGAAACAAGACTGGCACAATTTTAGTTAGCACATATATTCTCCGAGATGGAGAATGTGTCACTAAAGCATCATAATTTAAGTTTCACCAATAGTGGGACAATCAGTATGTCATTACTATGTTTGGGCAATAGTGACACTTCTGAGTTGTGCGAATTGATTTAGTTTTACATTTTAAGTGTTTGACTAAAAATAGTGACTCATTTTTAAATATGCCGGTACAGGTTTACATTTTTGTGCCTATATTAATTTGAACTCTTATTTTCGAATTAAAATAAAAATTAGGCTCACTATTTGAAATTGCCTTACAAATACCAAAATTGGTGTACCAAATATAAAAGAAACATTTTTATTTTCCTAACATTTTATTTTTATAAAGTTCAGAAATTAATAAGAATGTTTTGTTCTTAATATATCAGTGAAATTATTTTTATTGTAATTAATAAAAAAACTGTAATTTAGGATCTTGTCAACAGTGGCACACCCATAGCCCTCAGAAAGTCTAGATACCGCTTGGCGTATGCTGTCAATACAAAAAAATGACCCCATTCAAGCTTGTCGCCATGTTAGGTAAATTTATGTTTTGGCTACACTGATTTTTAGTTTGTGTGTTCTGTAATACGTGAACACCGATAATCTGCACTTTGTTATTAGTTATAAGTGAGTGAGACGCACAATTTCTAATTTCAAATTAAGAACAAAACTTTGACAAACCTATTTAATTTTCCTAGATCTGTTCAGACAGGACCGGTTTTATAAATTTTCTCGTTCTAGAAATGTTATTTTTACATGGTTATATATATATTATTGGATAAGTGTTTTGTGTATATATTGCTATGAGAATTATAGAGAAATTCAGTGAGATTTATATAATATAATTCAAATTACAAGTAAACCATCTGTTCCTGTTTGGCAATATGGAGAAAATACCTACTTCAATGTCAAATGTACTATTTAAAAGAATGTGATTGTTAACCGGTCATTTATTTATATTATGGAAATAAAAACTCGAATTTTTTAACTAGGGAAAGATATACTTACATCGGTAACAAGGTATTTTTAGAAAAACTAATAGATTACTCCTATTCCTATAGTTTATTTGAAAATGAATAATAGCAAAATTATATAAAAATATGGACCTTTGCCATAAAAACTGTGCTACCAAGAGCATTTTCAAATAAACTTTAATAATAATTTGATTTAATAGAGCGAGTATAAGATGTCACCTGTTAGTGAAATTGGGGCATAGGGAAGAGATTATGAAGCAGGTAAGCAAAGTTGTTGCAAAAGATAAATATATGGAAGTTATTTTAAAAATTTGATAAAAAACTAGTGGAACAACAAATGGAGTTGTCACTATCGGAGATCCAATCAGCAGAAAGTAAAAAAAAACTTTGGAAATGTTGGAAAAGGGCACAGCAATAGGCCCAAAACCATTCCTTGGTTTTTTAATAAATATAATCTTGTGAGATGCAAAAAATACTGCTAGAGTGGAGAAGCAGTATTGTTCTAATGTATAAAACCCAGGGACATACAGCAGTGCACTAACCATAAATTATACGAGTCCCATCTCGATTTTATTTTTAAATATTTTTGAGAATACCTATTAAAATTTGTTACATTGAGTTTAATAAAACCACAGATTTCGAATGTATTGAAAGTTATTTAAAAAGTACCTCTATAAATATACAGTGAGCATCATAAGTCTTACCCCCCTCACTAACCCGTTACTGGGGTCTTGTTAGGAAAACCGCCGAGACAGGTAGATTTTTGATTTCTACAATGTACATTTTTGTATAATTAGTTTACCCTTAATTTCATCCCTTACTGGAGGGTAGCAACTCTTTCGAAAAATTTAAATGGCATGGGGTTGTGAGTGATAGCTCATTTGAAAGGGGTTTTATTTTCTATTCAACCGTGCAAAAAATTTTGAAATTTGCTTCATTACGTGTTGATTTATTAATGTTTAAAAATAACAAAACCTCACAAAATAGGAAAGCAACTAGACTAACAGTGACTTTCTAATGGGAAAAAGTCTTACTTCACGTCTGAACCAAAACCGAAATCATGCAGGGGCGAATTTTAATTCTAAGGATGAGTGCGCTACGTTAATTTCCGTTATTCTGAAACAACAATTAGTCGAGAATTAATGAAGCAAATTTCAATTTTTTTTACACAGTTGAATAGAGAATAAAACCCTCTTTCAAATGAGCTATCACTCACCACCCCATGCCATTTAAATTTTTCGAAAGGGTTGCTCCCCTCCAGTAAGGGATGAAATTAAGGGTAAACTATTCATACAAAAATGTACATTGTAGAAATCAAAAATCGACGTGTCTCGGCGATTTTCCCAACAAGACTCCAGTAACGAGTTAGATAGGGGGGTAAGACTTATGGTGCTCACTGTATAGAAAATGTGTATATGACTAACTGGTTTTATTAATCTTTTTTTGGGGTAGGTAAATATATTTTGAAAAATTTACAATCTTCTTTTAAATAAAAGACAAAATATTTCTGTTTTTATTAACTGAACAATATTTTATACAAACATAATATATACCTATTTAAAAGAAAATATTACATTTTACAAGGATCGCATATTTATATGAAATAACTTACCCAATAAGAAAGAATTAAATGAAACAAATTAATAAACAATGGATATGAAAAATTGCTTTAACAATTTAATCCTTAGATAAACTTATTCTTACATATTGCTTTAATCAATTTATTTACTATAAAAGTATATTTCCTATCATTTATTACATGTAATAAAATAAAGCATAAAACATACAAACTATAATATGTACCTACTTAGAATGGAACTAATATTATTGTATCAAGGTAGTAATAGTGGACATTTTCCGAATAAAAAAAAGTAAAAAAGAAGTAACGGTCGACACGTTTTACATCAGTACGGTGCAGCCAAGTTCAAAGGATCATGGAACGTGTGTTGGAAAAATTGTGCAATAGGTCACTAACAAAGGAGTCAATAACACATTTGCCGTTTCAGCTAGTATCCCCAAATTTTCTGGGCTTATACTAAAGTCACAAAATGATTCAATTGGTCTTCCTATGGCTATCAGTTATTCTTTCCTAAAAATTTTTGATATGCTACAACAAAACACAAATTATTTGATTTTGAAAATATACAAATATTTTTGAAAACTTACACATGAAATGTTATTCCTTCCTTGTATCTTCTACCGTTGGATGCATTGTTACATTCACGTACAAAACAACAAGAGATTTTGAAAATCCTGTAAAAATTTAACACCAAACCACAAATGTTTTTTATTAAAATAAAACACTAAACGACTAAACTAAAAAATAATGTTTTAAATAAAACATTTACTAGAAGAACAAAATAAACAACACAACAGATAATAAAATCGATTATATACGTCGAACGCCGATCTTACGCTTATTACTAAACTTGTGCCGATTCTGTCTTGTCAGAAGTGCCAACTTAAAATTTATTGACATTTATTTATCATGGCGCCCATCATATGGGGGGTCAAAATGTTTTTACGATGCGGTATCTAGACCTTCTGAGGGCTATGGGCACACCTTACAAAATTCAATTTAAAACAAAAAAAAATCGAACCAAATAATTATCTATGAATTTATGACTAAATCATAATCAACGTCAAACTTCAAATTCAACAAAATTTCTAAACTCAATTTTCTTCAAAATTAATATTTTTGAGATGTGCCATTATTGCTGTCTGTGAGCCACATATTTTTAAAAATAACATACCTGTCACTGCCATCCTGCCGATAATAAACAGAATACGACTGGATGTTATCCGCGTTATCCACAGGCGGCTTCCAACTAAGTATCACAAATCTGGCCTTAATGATGGGCGCCTTCAGCTCTTGCGGCGGCCCCGGCAATCTTTCTTCGTCCTTCTTTTCTGCACTAGCGGCTGCGATAGGTTTGCGAGGGGAGGGAGTAAAAGCAAATTGAACGTCACCAAGGTTAGTATTACTATCGTTAGATTCGCTACTCTTTAGGGCGTTGAAAGCTGAGTGAGGGTCGAACATGTGACCCTCGGGATTTTTGATTGCATGCGGGATAGGGATGTCGGACAGTTTGCCATGGGAGTCGGACTTTAAGGACGAGAAAAGGGAGATCGACTGTTGAGGCAGGACTTTTTTGGGATGGTGTTTAGATTTTCTTTTTTCTATCGATTTGACATGCGCCATGCAAAATATTAGATGCAATATATGAAATAGGGTTGTTGCAAGGAAGGAAATGACGAAGGAAGAAATAAAAAAAAAAATAAAATTAATAGTTGAAAATAAAAATATATGCATTAATGTAATTTCGAGCATAATATATTGGAATTAACAATTTTTTATTATTGAAAACCCACATAAACATTTCCAGGAAGATTCTACGTCTAAGCCAACCAAATTTTCAAGGAAATTTTCACAACCCTTCTAGAGTCTAAAAATGTATATATATTTTTTTATTCTTTGTAACAAATAATTTTTTATACTAAATTTTATCAATAAATATTTTCGACCATTTTTGACTGATTTCTTGAAAGATTAACGGCTAAATCGGAATGTTTTTCTAATTTTGAAATATAAAGTAATCACAGCAAGTGTCAAAATGATCCAGACAACCATTTTGTTTGGAATGCCTAATTGTTGTAAAAACATTATTATCAAAGACGCCTACTAGGTTAATATTTCATGCAATCAATTAAATCATAATTATGGAGCTTATTTCTAACATGCGATTACCTATTATGAAAATTGTTAACTTTTAGGGTTAATAACAAGTATAACTTAATTTATTAAATTGACGTTTCTTTAATTTATTTATAGTTTATTTATTTAAAACGACACTTTATTTACAATTTATTTATAACGTACTAATTAATTTATATAATACTTAGACACTAAATTATAACTTACAATTCTAATTTATTTATTACAATTTGTCTTTTCTATTTAACATTTAAATTGAATCTTCCCTCCTATCGACAAAGTCGCGGCTATTTATATAAAACCAGCTCTGTACCAGAACACTCTAGACGACCTAGAAGCTTCGGGAAGTCTCTCTCTATGACTTATACGCCGCACCGCGATTATTCCGGTAGTTTCGAGAAGCGGTGCGTTTGTCTCTATATTGTCAGCGCTAAACTTCATACCGCGGGCAAGAAGTAAACAAAGTACAGAGAGGGCTCCGCGTCACAATTATTTTTAATAACAAGTTATAGAAGTGATTTTAAAAAACCGACTTCAAAATCGTGCAGATGCCATTACAAATTTATTTTGCACATTTTCTCATATATCCCATCATCAGATCTTCATTAAATGTATATGGGACCACCCGCGAGGTATCCCTTTTCTAACAAAAATAATCATAGAAATCGGACAACGTGGTAAAGAATTACCGCTGAACATAGATTAAAAAAATATTCCGACGAATTTTTGAAGTCGTTTAAAAATGGATATCTTAAATAATATAAAAGTTAAACGTATATTTATACCACAAAATGTGGCACCCTCTATAAAATAGATCGTTACTAAATTACAATTTTTAATACCAAAAAGCCATCAATTTCAAAATCTTTATTATAAATATCCAAAAACGATAAAATTATTAGAAATAAATTTTAAAATTTTCCCTTAACATTGTGGGGTCTATTCTGTAAAACATTCTTTAAAATTTAAATGTCTTTAAAAATTTTACTTGTAGCCGCCCGCTATTTTTTTAATCAAAAGCGGTATTCTATATAAACAAATTTTAGAGGCAGTCTTTTAAAATGTCAGGCTAACGCTTGATAGATCGCCGTAGTCAGTGCTTCAAACAATTCATTTGAACTAATTTTGACCCAAGCTACACATGAGAATAGTCCATTAGAGTTAAAGAAAAAGAATCCTTTGAGTCCCTATCTGCCTTGGGCTTTAAAGGCCCCATTTGTCCGATTGTCAAAAATATCTAAAGAAATGTCACCCCCCCCCCCCGGTGCTACGCCTATGGCTAGTCGGTTAATCATGAACGAATTTGGTAAATGCATATTCGAGAAATTGCCGGATACACCAATCTAATAAATGGTTGTTGAAGCCCAGATACTGTTGAAGCTAGACATTCGAACTGTTATGTAAATTAGATTATGAGCGTGAAATATAAGTAGTGCTTCAGTGTAAATATAAATTATTTAGTATTTAGTGTAAACAAATTATAAATAATAAACTCTTCTAAATAAATAAGCACTAAAATAATCATACAATTTACTACTTTTTAGTTAGGGTTCGGAAGTGATGTCAATTATTATCCAAAACCAAATAAACTATTTTCAGAAATCCATTTATAATTGTATTTCTTTTAGTTTAAGAATCAGGAAATATTGTATATTAAATTGGCACTTCATCTATAGGCTCTACTCATAATTGTTTAACTAATTTCAAAATTATATCCCTCTCATGTAGATAGCTGGTATCCTCCTGTATGTATAGTTGAAAGTATTTTTATACATGTGTGGTTCTATAAGGTTTGTCATAATTCTGACCCCATCTTTATTGAAACGAAAAATATTTTTTCTACACCCACATGGATATTAGCTTATCTACGTACAGACTACAAAACGAAAAAGTATGTCATTGCGTTCAACTGAACGAATATATTTCATATCCATTCTAGGTAGTGAGAACACTGCAAAAAATAAAATCTACCAATCACAGTTCATATTTTGGACACCCAACTACTATTATTTTAAAAATTTTAAATAAGTGATAATTTTGTCAAACTAATATGTTTTAATTATTAAGATTAAATATACATTAAAATGAGTTATTTTTTTGTAGAATCGATAAATATTCGTAAATAATAGCATTTCTATTTTTATTTAAACCATATTTAAAAAAAAAAAAAATAAATAAACAAAATTTTAATCAAACTATAGGAAACTATTTTAATTACGAGTATTAAAACCAAAATTGTAAAAGTGGACTTCTATGCGAAAAGCCGGAGATCGATTCTCGGCTGGCGACAATTTTTTTTTATATTTATTTTATTTTAAAAATCAGTAAAATTCATAAATCATTTTAAAATTAGTTATTTTGTCTTAATAACTAAAATATTTTTTTTAATTTGTAGATTTCCGTTAGTGGGTCGTAGAAAAAATATACTGTACAACCAAATTTTGTCTTCGTGCGATATGGCCATCATATCCACTCTTGTTGCACAAACTACTATTTAAAAGCTACATCCCTTATGTCCCTAATTTACCTTTGATATAATCTAAAATTTGCCCTGAAATATTAAATGTAATAGCTTTACATTAGAAATTTTATGTCCTTCATACCTTTCCTCATTTTCCTATAATTCTTCATTCAAAATTTCTTCAATTTCATCATAAAATTCCATTTGACTTTTTGTCAAAAGTTAAAGATTCATTTTAAAACCACTTTAAAAATGATACTTTTTAAAGCACTATTTTAAAGAAATCAGTTTAAATATTTACAGAAGTAGGTACGTTAGTGAATAATAAAAATATTTTTAAAGGCCGTCAATATTTTAACGGGTGTTAAAATATAAAGGAATCCTTACAGAATAGTCCCCTGCATCTGTCTTATTTTCAATATTTTATTAAGGCAAGTTGGCTCAAATTTTAATATTTTGAAATCAAAAATCTGCTATACTTCTATGTACAATTGCTTAAGGACCACCCTGTATTTAACTATGTATGCAAAATAACTAATTTTCTTGAAAACTAACAAGCTTTGACAAAAAAATTAAACTATTTGTGATGATAAATTTGTTTAAAGTATAATATTGTATTTTCAAATAAGAATTTTTTAAATATGTATTTAATTGGTAGTACAAAAATAAATAATTTAGTCATTTACGAAAAATTAGAAAAAAAATCTTATTCTGTGTGATGTGATGAGTAAATATCAGCGAGAGAAGCGTAAAAAACTATTTAAAAGTATTTCCCGGTGACTTTTAGCATACTCTGGAACTGATATAAAAGGTTAAAGAACTGATTCATCACACAAGACACTCTTTGTATCTCTGGAAGATATCTCCCATGTTTTGATTGATTATTTATAAACTGTACTTTATCATCGTTTCAAAAAATTGTCAATTCCATTTTAACAGAAATAAAAAGAATTTAAAAATGTCAATGAAAAATATCATCTAACTATAAATTAAAATGCACAAAATAATGATCAAATTAACTCAATTAATTCTAATAATTTCTTTAAAAAAAATAGTGTCAGATAATTTTAAAAACTTGCAAATCGTACCTGGATTGGCCAAAACTTTCAAATTGGCCACAGCCTGTATATTTCCAGCCTGATTGGTAGCGAAACACTGAAATAACCCAGAATCGCTTATCATCAGCCCCATTATTTTTAAATTGTATCTAAACAAAAAAAAAAACAACAACATAAAACGAGAATTTCCAATAAATTCATTAAAATGCGTCTTACCCAGTCACTAATTTGTAATAATCCGAATATTTAACCAGCTCCCCGTTTTTGAACCACTGCACTTTAGGTTCTGGAACACCATATACAGCACATTCTAATTCTATATCCTTTGTGGAATGTTCAATTTTATCTTGAGGTTTCTTTAAAAATTTAGGAGGCACCTAAAAAAATTAACCACCATAGAAACATAGACTATAATTACGAAGAATAACACAGGCCTGCGTTTAAATACTCTGTAAAATGCGAATTGAACTTTTCAACTGAACTTGGGTATTTCAGTGATGCTGATTTCAAATCTGCTTTTAGTTTTTTCTATCGCGTAAGGTTTTTAAACAAAATACTACAAGAATGCAAAAAAGTAAAAATATATTTATAGATACTTAGGATAAAAAAGAAATTAATAAACCAAGAAAACAAACAATAAAACCGGGGAAGTAGTTAAAAAATAACATACATTAATCCTTTGTTTTCTTTAAAAATCTTTCTCTCTTTCCGGAAAAGCTTCTTTTTGTTGTTTTTCGTACATATTCTGCAGTAGGACGGTCCCTTTTAAGCATCCAACAGTAGTCGGCCATCATTTTGAAATCCCAGCGCCCTTGATATCGCCGTTCCATCTCTTTTATGTCCTGGTGAAAGCGCTCCCCTTGCTCTTCACTGAAATCGCCAAGATTATTCGGAAAATAGTCAAGATGAGCATGTAGAAAATTAATTTTTAAGCTCATGTTTTCAACAATACTTTCAAATTCAGGATCTTTTAGTTTCCTAGAAACTTATTTATAACTTGTTTAAAAACTGTCCATGCTTCTTTTTCGTCTTCCTGCATAACAGTCTCAATTTCATTAGTTTTCATCAACCTTCTTATTTGTGGCCCAACAAAGATGCCTTCTTTTAATTTAGCTTCAGAGGGACCCGGAAATGTTTCACACAAGTACTTAAAGCAACCACCATTTTTGTCTAGAGCTTTGACAAATTGTTTCATCAGCCCCAATTTTATATGTAGAGGGGGTAATAAAATTTTCTCGGAATCAACTACTTTCCCGAATTACGTTTTTGGAACAAGGCGTTAAATTTTTTCTTGGTGGCCAGTTTTTTTTAGTCCAGTGGTCATCTCTTGCTCTACTGTCCCAATCACATAGGAAACATGGGTATTTTGTATATCCGGATTGTTGACCTAAATGCAACCCTAAAATTTTAAGGTCACCACATAGAATCCAGTTATGTTGTCTGTAGTTTATTCTTAAAAGCAGTACCTCAAGATTTTCGTAATTTTCTTTTAGCTGAGTAGAATGACCAACAGGAACAGATGCATATAAATTTGCCAAATATAAAATTTTAACCATAAAACAAAATTTTAATAAAAATATTGAAACAAGTGCAATCTATCTAGAACAAATTAATCTTTCAATTATTTCTGTCTACAAACCTCCAAATAAAAATGTTTGTGTAGACGATTGGAAAAAACAATTTTTGCAATTCCCAAATAACTCTTTTCTGTGGCAACTTTAATTGTCACCACACCCTATGGGGTTCTTCACTCAATCGAACTGATGATCAACGGCTTGTTCAAGCACTTAATGATATTAATCTTATTGTGTTAAATGATGGATCTCCAACCAAAAATAGTAGACCCAACGAAAACAAATCAGCAGTGGATCTCACTCTAACATCACCAATCCTTATGTCCAAATTCAAATGGGATGCAACAAAGGACCTTATGGGCTCTGATCATTTTCCAATATATATTCAATTCAATACTAATTACAAACCTTAAAATATCCTGCCTCATACGAAATGGAGCGCCAAATCAGCAGATTGGAAAATTTTTTCAAAACTAGTAGATGATCAATTAATAGATATCAGCAATAATGAAGTGACATTCCAAGACCTTTTAGCAATACTTACTAATGCAGCAAATAGTTCCATGAAAATCAACAAACCCATTGTCATAAAAACTCCCCAACCTATATGGTGGGACAATGATTGCTCTCAGATGGTTTCAAAAAGATGATTGGCTTTTCAACAGTATAAAAGATTATCGAACTGGGAAAATTATCTGAATTATAAAAACATTGAATCCCAAACTAAACTTCTTTTTAAAAGCAAATGCAAATATAGCTGGACAAAATTTTTAAACAATCTTAATAAAAACACTCCCTTAACTAAGATTTGGAATTTTGTCAAGAAAATAAATAACAAAAAATATAACAGTATAAATTCAAGCTTAACTGGAGAAATGATTGACAAATTATTAGATCACTTTGCACCTGCTACTGCAGCTAATATTCAAAAGTCCTCAACGTAGAACAGCTTTAAGACTTCTCTTTGAAGTCTATAAAAAGTCTCCACTCGGCAGGATTGTATTCAGGAGCACCTAGGTGAATAACCAAGTCAAATACATTTTGACAATATACAAGTGAACCAGCTGCGGCAAAGTAATTGACAAATTCAGCCTCACGATTTCTTTACCAATAAAATGTAGTATCTGGAGCAAGTAATTTTTTTCTTTAAGCCTTGATCCTAAAACCTCAGAGAGGTCTTTTGGAAGTCCCAAATCCCTAACTAAGTCATTCAGTTCTACTTGAGAAAATGGCTGCGGTTCACAGGTTCCTGAGGTAGATGGCTCAAAAATGTAAATTTCTGAATCTGCTGAAGATTCTGATTCGATAGACTGTAATATTTTAGGTGGAACAGGTACAGGTATATCAGAGTCATGTGGAACTGGTCTTATTGCAGACGAAAGATTAGGATAGTTAATATACTTTAGAGATTTTGTGTTATGACCTTTAATATCACAGAGACAAAAATAGCAGTCGTCAATGTGATTTTTAGGTTCTCTCCAGACCATTGGTATTCCAAACGGTAGGGCTTTTCTTGTTCCTTTAAACCAATGCCTCAAGACTTCTTCGCAAATCTTGCAGATAACATGTGGCGCCCAAGGTTTATCTTGATCTCAAAGTCTGACTTTAAAATATGCAAAATATGCATTTTTTACGAAATCAGTAATGTTTCTTTTAAACTTCTTCACTATAAAGTGTCCACAAATATAACAAAAGTCATCAGGCCTATTTTTACAACACCTACTAGACATTTTTTTAATAGAAAGTGCACAACGAAACACCGATAGAATTCGATAGACAACGCCTGTCTCAATACCACGGGGATACTAAATATATCGCCCTCTTTCCTGAATAAATCGAGTCTCGGGGAATCCCCAACAATATTCTAGTAAGTACCGGTAAATTCCCCTACAAATGCGCAAATTAAAACGAGGTTTTAACGCGTCACATCGTTTTGAACAAAAATTAATTTGTTTGTGATGTTCAGGGATAATACCCTTGTACTAGTTAACAAAAAAAGTTTACGTGATAGAATAAAAAGGGGGTTATTTTAGCTACATAGAAGTTGTAAATAGGTGAAAAAAAAATGGCTAGATCACAAAATTTTCGCAGGCCTGTGTAATTATTTTTTATAATTTGTGAAATATTTATTGATTTTATTATTGATCCATTTATAGTTCAACCTTTAAAGTAGCGAGTTGTGCACTATTTGACAGCCGACAGTTTGAAGATATCGAATCGGAATGACACTTGTCATTGCAGTTCATCTTTGATTCATTTGCTGATTGTTACTTACTTGTATTTGGATTAAAGCAGATGCATCCATGCTGTCTTCTCTATTCTCAGCTCGACACTGATAATTACCGCCATCTTGTTCCTGTATCATAGTTATTCGAAGCGAATTAGTGGTGCCTGCCAGCTTAAACCTACTATCCAAATCACTACAAAAAAAAAAATTACAGTATACTGACTTCATATACGTAACGGAAGAAAAATGTTTTATCTAAGGTTTCATTGAAGATATACATGAAGAAGAATGTATGTAATATAATACATTTTTTGAATCTCTGTCGAATGTAATTTTATTCTTACTTCATATCAATGGGATATCCATCCTTTAACCAAGTAATTGTAGGCATGGGATTCCCATTTGCTGCACAATCTAAAGATACATTTTGGCCTTCGATATAAGTTCCTGGCAGAGGTTGGGCGATAAAAGTGGGCGAGGCTACATGGAGGGCTTCTTCTTGGTCCCGGTTGATGTGCAATACGGCCTTATTGCTCAGTTTGTAGGAACTCAAACCTGATGCATTGCATCTAAGAAAAAAATTAAAATTATTTGCGCTTATAGTTAACACAGCAACAGAAGATAAAAAATTACCTGTAAGTTCCTTGATCTGAATCAACAACTTCATCAATTTCCAAGGCACCTGAAGGCAATATCGCCATACGTAGTTCATCGATAATAAGTGGTCTTTCATCTTTCAACCATCTTATTTTTGGGGGTGGCGTTCCTATCACATGGCATGCAAAATATGCACGTTGTCCAACATACACATTTAAGTCGCGAGGTTCTTCTTGGAAACCAACAAGATCTAAAAAAATATATATTTTTTTACATCATGCTTTCAAGGTATATTGTTGTTAAATAATCTTAAATTTGACAATTAAATTTGTATCATCTCATAATAATATAAGAGTCAGAATCCTTATTTATTTCTTCTTTGAGTAGACTGTTTCAATATTAAAGAGTACAGCTGCCTCAGAGCAATTTACGCGTGTCGTCATAATAATAATAATAGTTTATTTGTCCTTTAGGATCATGTTACATGATATAGGATAAGTCATAATATATATGAATAAAAAATATTAAAATACAAATAAATATAGGTACAGTCTAAGACATGCACATTAAAAATATACAATTAGAAAAACATTTACCTTAAAATATGGTGGTATTCAGATAAATTATAAAAACATGAATCTACTAAATAATTTTTAAGTTTTCTTTTAAAAGGTTCATATTTATTTTCAGATTTAATGAAATCAGGGAGTTGATTAAAAAATTTAATTCCAACAAATTCTGGCGGTTTCTCAAATAATGCTGTTGAATGTCTTGATGTTCTGAATAAATTTTTATTCCTAGTTCAGTATTCATAGTAATTTGAATTTTGTAAAAATTGGTGTATGTTGCGTTTAGCATATAGCAACGTTTTATAAATGTAAATACAGGGAAATGTTAATATTTTAAATTTTTTGAAGTTATATTTACAAGTGGCATAGCCAGTGCCATACTGTAAATTTAATGGTGGGACTCTAAAACAGTGGGAAAACAATTTCAAATTTGTAGGTTAACACAACGTTAACAAACATTTTTTAAATATAATTAATTGTGTTTTCAGATACACCTAATAGTCCATTTAAAATAAGGATAAAAGGTCGAGAAACGCCGCACTTGACGAGACCACTTGTCCCATACGTATTTTGGGGCGCTGATTACGAAAATGAGGGTTAAAACTGGCAGCAATGGTTGGAATACCCCTAAAATTGCAAAAATGCCCCTAATTAGGGGTGTTTCTCGACTGTACTTGTTGTTTTGCAAACTAAGCCATCTTATATGTTTTTTGAGCAACTACACCTCTAGCCAGTCTTCCGTGTTGCCGGTTTTGTTTCTTCCCTAGAACCAACGATGGCACAACGGGATCTATTCAGCCCTAGTCGCCGATGAAAAAAAAAAAGATAATAATAATAATAATTTCTACACATAAAACATTCTCTCGTAAAATAGGAGCGTATTGCATTTTTTACCATCAATTCATCAACTTGTCTGTCAGTTTTGCTTTTATACTTTTGAGGCATTTTCAAAATCGAACAAAAAATTTATTAGATAATACCCATACTAGATATGGGGATGATTTCGGCCGTGGGCGAAACCTCTACCTGCCTAGGGGCCGAAGCATCACCATTAGTCCAAATTCACAAAGATGGCACTTGGGCCAATTACTATTTAAATTTAAAGTTAGGTTATTTATAAAACATATCTCTTGATATGCAACTAAATACGAGCACTAGTGAAATATTTTTACAAATTGATTATTCACAAAAGTCTTTTAAATTTGTAAATTGCAAAACTCGCTGACCATGTGGCTCAATACTAAAAACAAGCTTGTGTGCATTAAAAATCATTAGATATTTCGCAGGAAATTTCAAATAGTAAAATTAAATCGCTTGTGGCTGAATCCTCCCAGGGGCCGAACCCTCCACCCACTCCCCTACTTCGTATAATTTTACTAAATTATGTAAACGTTTTTTGATGTAAAAATATACACCTATCAGAAAAAAAAGTTAAAATAAACTGTACCAGTGGCGTACGAAGTAACACCTTCATCCTCTCTAAATTTTACGCCACTCTCCATAAACTTATGTGGGATGTGTGTCTTTGGACAGGTGTAGGTTATTGAAACACTAAATAATGAACTGGATTAACCAAAATAAAACAAACAAAACAACATACACACGTCGTAATATAACAGAGCGTCGTTAATCGTCGTTATAATAATATACCATTGTAATTAGTTCACATGTCGTTCGTCATATTTGGCATAATAATTCCAACTGCAAAGCAAACTGTCTCCATTAGTAAAATTAGACTAAGTAATAAAAAAAAAATTAAAAAATTAATCATTTTTGAATTTTCAACTTTAACACCCTGTATTTTGAAAAGTATTAACATTTTACCTAAACATGTTTCGTTTAATCGTCTTATTTTTAGCCACAGAATCTTCAGTTGTTCTGTCCCACTATTAATTGATCACCCTGTATATTCTGAGACGTACATTTCAAAAATGTATACATTTTTTGTTTATCTTCATGGGAAGTGTTTCAAAATCGCTGTTAAATATCTGACATAGGGGTCTATTCTGTAACAATTCCTTAACGGCCGTTCAAATATTGGCGGCCTTTAAAAATATTTTCGTATTCACTAACTTACTTCTGTCATTAATTAAACGGATTCCTTTAAAATAGTCCTCAAATAACAATCATTTTTAAAGGGATGTTAAAATTCGCCTTTAATTTTTAATGGTTTTGAATTGAAAATTGAGGATTTGTATGGTTATGTTTTCAAACTATACGCTAGTTCAGTGTGATGTCATTTTAGTTCCACTGACAATTAATTCTAACCAAACGTTCTTGCTGTTTTTAGTTTATTTCTAAATATTGTTTACAGGTCATAAAAATTGTTGAAAGGTATGTAAATTGGTAACTAAACGATTGTATATTTGATGCATGTTATCTACTTACTTTAGGAATATATTTATAAAATTGAAAAAACGATATAATTTAGGTAAACACAACGAACAAAACGCACTCAAAAATCTACTGTCACTTTAATTGTCAGTGGAACCATAATTACATCATCACTGAACCAGCGCATTAGTTCAAATAAATCTTAAATGCGATGTTGTCAAGTGTTCTCTTGCCATTTTTAAGGGAATCCGTTAAAATACATAATTTCTAACAGGCCTCTAAAATTTGTGTATACAGAATATCTTTGGTTAAAAAAATTAACAGGCCGCTAAAAGTTTAATTTTTAAAGGCATCTAAATTTTAACGGATTTGTTACAGAATAGACCCCATACCATCTTATCGATTTTCGAAATTTTGAGTTATCAGAATATTTATGTACACCATTTTGTAGAGCCAAACGAGAAAAATTCAATGCAGTAAACCGCATAAACATAGCTCAAATGGTTCCCTAAATTTTTAATTGAATAGTTATTAGATTCTCTAGTAAACATTAACCAAAATAAGAGGCAAAATCCCATTCTGCGCTTACTAATAATGCTACCGTGATTTCACTGTGCACAAACGTTATACAAGGGCTTACTAATTCGCCTACTTGCGGAAAATGCATATCGCGTCGGTATTCGGTGAACCGGGGGGACGTTTTCATAGGGCACGCACTTAAAAAATATAAATAAATCTATATTTTTTTCCGTAGTTGCTCGCGGCAATTTAGAAGAACACAAACACATCATTGGACTTCAGAGAGAGGCTCCCCCTGGAGGTAAACAAAAGTAGACGCCTACAGTTATTTATATAAAACACACACCACCTTGCAAACAAACTAACGTCTTACAATAATAAAAAAATCTAAATATTTTACAAATAAACACAAAATCCCAAACGTCTACAAATTATCGTACCCATGAAGCCACTGGTCTGGTTGTAGTTAAGCAACGTAGATAAACAAGTCAACATTTTATTTCTGCAATTGTCATCTGACGCCACTGTGCTCTTTACCATTGAAATGGATTCGATACATAATCATATAAATCAATAGAGTTGCTAGTTATAATATACATTATTTTAAATATAAAATGATATAAAACTTACTTGCTATACTCAGCTTGGCTATACGACTCACTATAGAGCCTACATTTGGCAACGATGCAATACATTGGTATTTGCCAGTTAATCTTTGATCTTCTATCACACTGGTTATGTACAATGATCCATTAGTAAGTTGAGATCTACAATATTTTTTATTTTTTTAAAACAAATTGGCAATCAATAATAAATTGAGAATAATTACTTATAAATTATTTATGAAACCAATTTTAAACAGACCTGTATGAATCACCAATAAACGTAAGTTTGGATCCATCTTGATCCAACCACTGTATAAGGACGCTGGCTTGATGGTGGGAAGCCCTTACAACACAGTCAAGTACAGTCGATTGACCTGCTTCTACTACAGTATCAGAAGGTTCTACTGTGAACTCCAGTACATGTCCTGCAAAGAGATAACATTATTAATTTCACCATTTTTGATAATTTTAAATTAATAAACGTCCCAGTTGTTCTTGGTGGGCTCACTCATTCGTACTCCAATAACATATATAGAATGCTCACCTACATGATCAGAATCGATCTAGCACAAATGAGTTTTAATTTCAATCTTCAAATATAGTGAAAACATAATTACCTAAATTTCTACTGTAAGACATGAGCTTACGTTAATTATTTTTAAAAACATATTTTTTGCATTGTAAAGATAAATTTCCATATAGTCAAAACAATATTAAAAGGATCTAAACAATTTTGGTAATAGATTGTTTGAAAAGAGATGTAAACAATTTTAGAAGAGATATAAACAACTTCGGTAAGATATGTAATTAATTTTAGACCACACTAGGTATATGTATACAGTGAGCATCATAAATCTTACCCCCCTATCTAACTCATTACTGGAGTCTTGTTAGGAAAATCGCCGAGACACGTCGATTTTTGATTTCTACAATGTACACTTTTGTATGAATAGTTTACCCTTAATTTCATCCCTTACTGGAGGGGAGCAACCCTTTCGAAAAATTTAAATGGCATGGGGTGGTGAGTGATAGCTCATTTGAAAAGGGGTTTTATTCTCTATTCAACCGTGCAAAAAAATTTTAAATTTGCTTCATTAATTCTCAACTAATTATTGTTTCAGAACAATGGAAATTAACGTAGCGCACTCATCCTTAGAACTAAAATCCGCCCCTGCATGATATCGGTTTTGGTTCAGACGTGAAGTAAGACTTTTTGCTATTAGATAAGGTCTCTGTTAGTTAAGTTGCTTTCCTGTTTGTGATGTTTTGTTATTTTTAAACATTAATAAATCAACACGTAATGAAGCAAATTTAAATTTTTTTTTGCATGGTTGAATAGAGAATAAAACCCCCTTACAAATGATCTATCACTCACTACCCCATGCCATTTAAATTTTTTGAAAGGGTTGCTCCCCTTTAGTAAGGGATGAAATTAAGGGTAAAATTTCATACAAAAATGTACATTGTAGAAATCAAAAATCGACGTGTCTCGGCGATTTTCCTAACAAGACTCTAGTAACGAGTTAGTTAGGGGGGTAAGACTTGTGATGCTCACTGTATATCATATAAATGGACTCTTATTCTTAATTTATTCCTGCCATTTTAAAAGCAGATACACAAAAAGTTCAATCATGTTTATTTCACTTTTTTTAAATATTACTAAAGATTTTTTACCATTTTTTTATTTTCATTTTTATTTACGGGAACGACCATTTAAGGTTGTTAAAAATTATTAAAATTTACACTGGTGTATTTTGAATGTTGTGTTTAAATTTATTTACAGAAGTATCAAAGATAATATTATCCAGACTTTACCAATCTAAGTATCCGAGGAATACAACTGTTAAAAGTACTATTAATGCTACTTTTGAATATCCACATCCGATGCATTTGTTACATCTCGAGCGTTTGTTTATCCACATCGGACACATATGTCCTACTACATTTACATATATTGAATCACGTGATCAAAGATTTACATCATCTCAGATGCATCTGATGTGGATATTCAAACGCAGCAAAAGTGTATTAAAAGGTAAAATATGTGATTGCCTAGTATTACGAGTAGGAAGAAAAATATTAATTTTCTATAGAATTTTAGGACAATCATTGACATTATTAAAAAGTAAGATCAAGTCTCTTATGTTTTCTTTTGGTTTCAGAGAGAGTATCTATCTTTAAAAACTGCTCTACTGTAGTATAATCATAAAACGTTTTGCAATTTAATGCTATATACGTAAGAAAATTGTTCTGAATACGATTGATTTTTAATTTGTAAGTTACATGATGTGGAGACCATACAGAAGAGCAATAATCGAAGCGACTCCTAACTAAAGAACAATAAAGAGTTTTACCACGAGTAACATCAGTGAAGTCGCGGGTCGTTCTTTTAATAAATACTAACATTTTCATAGATTTACTTATAACTGAAGAGATGTGGTAGTTAAAGTTAAGAGTTGTGTCGAAAATAACTTCAAGATCTTTAATTTGTTTACCACTATCTAAAAGTTGACCATTGATTGTGTAGTAAAATATTGTTATAATTACTACTTTCATTAGAAATACCCATCTTCTTATATGCAGCAAATTTTAAAAATTTAAGTTGAACGCTTTCAATTAAATCTATGTCCCGTTGAGATAAGCATTCCCTCGAGCATTCCATAAGATGCAATTATATTCAACGTTAGATCTCGCCAACGAACAATATGATAAATTTTATCGAATCAGTTGAAAAATATTTGGATGATCTCATGATAAATCCCAACATTTTCAATGCCTTGGAAGTAATTAAGGAATAATGATATTGAAATGACAACTTGGGATCAAATGTAACACCAAGATCTTTTATATTGTCTAATGTATAATTGAACTGAACAGGATTGTTGTTTCTATGGAAAGTGATTTGATGGCATTTTCTTGGGTTTAGTTTAAGTAGATTTATTTTACACCTTTTAAAAAGGTTATCTATATCGAATTGGAGCAGTCTGGCATCCTCAATTGTATTAATAGCTATATAGAATTTAAAATAATCTGCAAAAATAGACTTTTGTAAGTAAACTATAACCTCAGCTACATCGTGTGTAAATAGATTAAATAATAAAGGACATAAATGTGATCCTTGTGGTACACCTGAAGGTACCGATATCTCAGATGATATGGATCCCCATATCTTACATACTGAGTACGTCCTTTGAGATAACTGTCCAGCCATGAAATCAATGGGCCAACTATATCTACGGAGTTCAGTTTTGCTAGCAAGAGTACATGGTTAACCCGATCAAACGGTTTTGTAAAATGTATGAGAGTGCTCTTCAAAAGCACCAATTACAAAGTTGTTATAAAGCACCAAATTTGTAGTTGTAGATTTGCCGGGCATAAATCCATGTTACTCACTACTAATTATAGATTTAGTGTCCCATGACAATTTTTTTGAAACAATACATTCAAGTAACTTTGGAATTTTCGACTGAATGCAAATAGATCTGTAATTTTTTATATCATCTTTTCTGTAACTCTTGTAAATTGGGCTAAGCATGCTTTCCTTCCAGAATACAGGGAATGTACTCAAAGATAGTGATAAATAGTGTAAAAGTTTTGCTAGTGTGAAAGTATGTTTTTTTTAGAAGGAACAGTGGAATTCCATCAGGACCATATGAAAGTTTATGAGGTTTGGACATATTATAAATTATCTCTTTAATATCAATATGGTAATTACGAGGGTAATTAGTAACATCAACATAATTATTTTTAAATGTTTTTAAATGTATAAAACAGAATATGGTTAGGGTGTTCATGACAATAGACAGTTGAGAAAATGAAGAAAACAAATGGTTACAATTTTTCCTTTTATTATTGTAATATTTCCAAAAGTTTTGGTACCTGATCTTATATGATTCTTAAGTTTAGATATAAATCTGTTGAAGCATTCATTAGGTACTTGTGAACAGCAAGCCCTGAGTTCAGAAAATCGATGACAATGAATGAAGTATCCAGAAGTTTTATAACGTTTGTGTTGAAATTACATTCAACATGTCCTATCTGCTAAATACTAGGTAGACACTCCCTGTATAAACCTCCGCTTTTAGCAAACAAAAATAATAAAGTACTGAATAGTCACTCCCTGTATAAACTAATTATCTAAACTTGAAACAACACGCTTGACTTTCAAATGACCGCCAGACACCTGCTATGTCGCAAAGACACCTGTGTCTTCGTAAACAGTTAATATGATCACGTACGCAATCATGTGATCAGGGACGGCCAATGAGAAAAAATGGCGGTAAAACCGTCGCTGGCTGGCGGGGTTGTATCGGAGAAAAAACTTTCACTTTCGTTTAGTCAGTCGAACAACACACATAAAAAATCTTGTCAACGCCGGCAGCAAGCCGAAATTTAAGTTCAAGCATTTGTGCGATTTGATTTAAAAAGTTGTAACATGTAATCAATTAATAATTTATGTAACCAAGTATTAATATGTAAAATGTTGAATCAGTAAGCCGTGAATATATCAAATTCAAATATAAGGTGATAGTTTCATTTGAATAAAATCAGTGCATCAACCAGAACTTCGAGAGTATCTTCCAGAGGCTACAGGGTGGAGCATAAGGCCTTCACCCTAGGTAACATATTTCAAACATAGTCATACAGTCCACCATGATTGAAGGCAGTAAATGTCAAGCCTTATAAACCCAGGGTAAGACAGTTTGTGAATATTTTTTTTTAGGTTTATGAGTTCACCAGAAAACCAATTCGGAGAGTTGGAGGTTCTAAATATTTTTATAGAAATAAAAATGTGTAAGGCTTCATACAATATATCAAAAAAAAAAATTCTGAAGCTATGTCAATCGTACATGAATTAAACTTAATATCCCAGTTGACACTCGCTACAAAATCATTTAAACCAGTATAATTACCATTTTTTAATTTCCAAAAATATTCTTCATACTAGAGATAATTACTAATTTCCAATTTTGATTGAAAAGAAACTGCAGAGTGATATACACTATTATTTACCAATAAATTAATGGCTTCAGATACTGCATCATCACAAGAACTAGGTATGAAAAATTAAATCCAAAAATGTCCCTTGACTATTAAGAATGCTATTGATTTGATATAAATTAAGATGGCTAAAAGTATTAAGTAGAAGCAATGCATTAGAATTTTCTGGACAATCAACATTTACTGCCAAATTATCATTATACCAATATGCCTCAGGCAAATTATAATCACCACATAATAAAAGTTAACTATTCTTATAATTTACAGATAAATAATCAATAGTATTCAAATGATCAATACATATGCTCTCAGCAGAACCTGGAGGAATGTAAACACTCCCTATTCTTATATTTAACTTATACAAACAATTGTTCAATATAAGGTATTAATTTATTCTTTATTGGTATAAAAATGTCCCAACTTA